GCCAGAGTCCACTTCCCAAATGAAGTCTCCCCATCGCATTTACAGTGTCATCCAGCGAACCTTGAGCTCACTGGTGGCTGTTTGAAATGGGCCTGTCTTCCCGAGAATGTCACTTGCCTATGACCTGGGGCCGTTCCCGCCAAGTAAAGGGAGCCCCAGCAGTGATGAAGACAGTGCTGGCCTGTGCCTCTGAGAGAGCCATTAGTCACCCACACACACCTTTAGCTATGGGGGATGCCTGTCAGGGAGAGGCAACCTCAGTGCCACAGCCGTCAGCGGACACAGCCCGGAATGGCAAAGGGGACACTGGCAGCTATTTTTGTGACCTTGGCAGCAAGACCAGAGGGTTTCCCTGTGGGTGTTGGGTGCAGACGGCCAGCTCTCGGCTGCTGATGGCCAGCTTGCCTCTACCCTCTTGGGGTGGAAGTGCCAGGGCGACAGCGAGGCGGGGCTTACCTGCGTCTGAATCCGGTTCAGGCCCCGGAACCAGAGGATCTGGCCCCTGCGGAGCTCCCGCTCGGCGTGGTCGATCTCTTCCTCGCCTTCGGCCAGCTCCTCGTCGGTCATCTCGTCCTTCCCGGGCCCATGCCCAGCTTCCTTCAGGCACTTGAGCTGACTGGTGGGGATGGTGGCAATGACCTGGGAGAGCCACACGGAAGTGGCCGTGAGAGCCGGGCTGAGCAACATCTGCCTGGCATAAAGTCCCCCTCCAGAGGGAGACGCCAGCCTCCTTCCTCCAAAGGATGTCATTTTTTTGTGTGTGTGACTAAGCAAAGGGAGTAAAGCTAGAGCAGCCCCCCGGGAACTGGCAGCCCCTGGAGAACCGGTGGAGTGTTCCCTCAGGGGGCTGAGATGCATTATCAGGAGTATGTGGAGCTCTGGGCCTGCCCCTCCTCCATGGAGTTCCATATAGCCAAAGGGCCCGGGGAGAGGCCCGAGTGGAGCGCTGTGCAGCAAGGGCTCCTGGGAGGGATTGCTAAGCCCCTGGAACATCCTGCCTGACAGCAGCATGGCTCACCGGGGCTGGGGGCTCGGGACCGTGCCCCATAGTCTACACTAACAGCTGGACATCCAGAGGGCTGGAGACGGAGGTCAGCCATGTGACCACGGCATGGCTCTGCGAACCACCCCAAGAAAAGCTCTGGACACTGGGGCCCGGGTGAGCTGCCCTGGTTGACAATACTCCCTGCATGTCACTCCACACCATTGCTGGGAGACACAGGTGCTGTTTGCGCAGCTCCCCTGGGAGAGGACAGCTGGAGCTCTGGCCTAGTCTCTCCTAGAGAGGGCATCCCCTGGGGGAAGACCAGCCTAGAGAAGACCTGTGCATTGGGGACTAGGGAGGGTGGGACGTGACAAGGAGGGTGACAGCTGGAAAGGGTGACCGGATAAGGAGCCTGGCAAGAGTGAAGAGAGGGCATGGCTTGGCGTATTGCAGGCCACTGGGAAGTTGGGGGAACAGTATAGAAGGACGCAGGGGAAGCCACAGAAAGGGATGATGGGCATCTGGAGTTCTAGAACAAGATGTCTCGTCTGTCTTGTGTGTCTATGCCAGTGTCTTTGTCGAATGTGGCCAGGAGGGGACTTGAGGACTGGTTCACAGAGATTCCCTTCTATTCGTTTTTCACTTGAACATGTTTTATCTTTGTAACTGAACAAGGTTAAAAATGAAAAGGACAACCCAGTAGCCCTGAGAGGCCAAGCTACAGGCTGGTACCACGTTCCTGGTGGGGGGACCAGAAGACCAGTGGCCTGGGAGCTTGAAGAGCAAGAAGAGGGCCTGGCACCCCTCTGGGCTGTGGTTAGAGTCCAGGTTTTGGGAAGTGAAGGGACTCCATGGAGCAACCAGGTTCAAGCGTGATTGGGAGGTGAGGTGCAGTAGCAGAGGGAAAGGAGAATTCTGAGAATTCTGAACATGAAACAGAGGAACTGGGTGGGCTGTCCCCGAGGACACTAATGCTGGGGCAGATCACTTGAGGTCAGGAGTTCAAGACCAGCCTGGCCAACATGGCAAAACACATCTCTACAAAAAATACAAAAATTAACCTGGTGTGGTGACATGTGCCTGTGGTCCCAGCTGCTTGGGAGGCTGAGGTAGGAGGATCACTTGAGCCTGGGAGTTCAAGGCTACAGTGAGCTGTGATCATACCACTGCACTCCACCCTGGGCAACAGAACAAGACCTTATCTCAAAAAAAAAAAAAAAAAAAGAAAAAGAAAAAGAAACAAAGCCAGAATGCTATGGACTGAACTATGCTCTCCAGTTCATGTGTTGAAGTCCTAGTGCCCAGCGTGGCTGGATTTGGAGTAAGGAAGTGATCAAGGTTAAATGAGGTCACCAAGGTGGGGCCCTGATCCTACTGGATTAATGCTCCTAGGAGAGGAGACACTAGAGACCTTGCTCCCTCTGTCTACCATGTGAGCACAGAGTGGGGAGGCGGCTGTCTGCAAGCCAGGAAGGAGCCCTCACCACGGAACTGGCCCCGCTGGCTCCTTGGACTCGGATGTCCAGCCTCCGGGACTTTGAGAAAGTAAGTGTCTGTTGTCTAAGCCTCCCAGTCTATGATATTTTGCTATGGCAGTCGGAGCGGCTGAAGACAGAGATAAGCGGATCCTGAATACCCAGGCTGTTTCTTCCTGATCTAATTGTGGGGTCCTAGACACTTCCCGGTGTGCAGCTTCAGCTGCAGCCCACAGAACTCGATGTGGGGCTCTCTGTCCTTTCCATCAGGTCAAAATATTTCCTAATTTCTCTGGAGACTTTCCTTTCACCCCATGGATTATTGATCAGGGTGCCGTTTGATTGATTTAAAATATGTGGGGATTTCCCAAACTACCTACCCATTTTGAAGGGGCAATTTTTGGCTCTTATCATAGAAAGCGGAGCTGTGGGCAGTTTTCCTGGGCCCTGTCATATCCCAGCCATGTTCCTTTGCATTATTTTGCTGACACCTTCCCTTGTGGCCTGTCCCTGGGTCCTGATGTGTCACAGGCCTGAGCCCGCAGTGTGCTTCCTGGGGTGTGGACCCCAAGACTCTGAAGCAGGGTTAGGGCAAGTGGGCCCATCACAGAAGCTGTCTGCAGGGCAATCTGGAATGAGGGGCAGGGCTGTCACTCACCTGTCCCCAGACCAGCTCCCCAACACCAACAAACAGGCACCAGAGCCACTGTTCCGTGGATAGTGGGGAGCAGCTGAAGGGCTTCCCGCCGAACTGGACAATGACAATCTGCAAAGGGCAAGTGGGAGAGAGGCCGGTCCAGCTGCGGCTCCTGAGCCACCCTTGTTCTCCAGCCCCTTGAAGGCCCAGCCACCCTGGTCGGTTCGCCCAGGTGCATAGGCTGCTCCCTGCGAGAGAACCACAAGGCCGGGGGTGCCATGACAGAGCAGCACATGGCCTCCACCGCCCCTGGGTGCCAGGCACCTACTGACTCCAGCCTCGGAATCGGGCCCAGCTCCACTGACCATGCTCCTATTTTCAGCAAGACAGGCTGTGACACCCACACTGTGGGCACACTGGATACGCCTCATTCTGGAGGACCCTAGAACCTGCTGGGGTCACCTTGCCTTGGCCTCCTGCCTCCTCAGGAGGCATTCAATTCCCAGAGGCGAGCTTTCCAAATGTAAACTGACCCTGTCCTCTGTTGGACTGTCACAGTCCAGGCCACTATCCCCTTGTGCTCATTACCCAAGACCAGGTACCAGACAGCCAGGGAGCACCCCTATGCCCTAGAACTGCTTCAATGATGCAACCTAGCCAGTCCTGAGCCTACCAGCCCTGCCTCACCCGCTCCTCCCCAAGGGAACCACAGCAAAGGCTCTTGTCCACAGCTCTCACACCCTGCCTCCTGCTTGGTACTCTCCCATGTGGGCTCCTATGGTGTGGCATGTGCTCTCCTCTTGGGATCTGTGAGTCATAAACTGTCCTTCAATAGCAACTGTCTCCTGACCTGTTGGACTTACTATACCTCATTTTTTCTACAAATACACTATATTTTAGAACACTTAGCCCCTCCTAGACAGTGGGGCTGACCAGCCTGTCCACAGCACTGTGTTAAGCAGAGGTTAGTGTGTCAACATTGGGCACAGAGGGCATCTCCAAAAGAAACTTCTGGAGCTATGGCAGCCTCATGCCAAGGAATTAAGTGCTAGAAATGGGAACGGCAGACCTAGAGGGAGCCAGGGAGGACTCCTTTCAGCATCTGTGAGAAAACTTAGTTCTGATGAAGGCTCACGAAACCCTTCTGGAAGCCAGCGCGCTAACCCAGGGCAAGGCCAGCAATGTTTGGAAGATGAAGGCCCGCTCCGACATGCAGAGAGGACAGGGGGCTACAAGAAAGCCAGGTGGGGTGGGGCTCCTTCTGGGAGTGGAGGTGGGGAGGCCAGTACTAGGGGTGGACATGAGGCCTTGAAGCCCACCACCTCCACCTTTTGCAAGTGGCAGATGCCAAGAGTAGAGCCGCCCCTCCTACCTGAATCCCGAAAGTGCCCAAAACGATGGTGCAGAAGATGGGGTTGCTGAAGATGCCGTCGAACACGTTCCTCTCGCCATGGATCTTGCGGGCATTGATCTCGTTGAAGAGCTGCATCATGACGAAGGTGTTGAAGATGATGGTGTAGTGCTCTGAGGGTGGCGAGTGCAAGGGCGCGTTCCTCCCGCTGTCGATGTCAAAGAAGAGCTCCCCTGGAAAGCAACATTCCCCACTCAGGCAGTCACCTCAGTGCATGACTCAGGATCGAGACTGCCATGTGTAGCTCCCGAGATGGGTCCCTTGTCTCAGGGGACGGCCACTTCCAGCTCACAGCCAAGGCCCAAGGCAGCCACACCTACCCCAGGCTCAACCAACCAGAGTCCTGAGACCCCACTGGGCCAGGGGCCAGACCCTGAGTCTGAGGGCAGGAAGGAAGAAGTTAAGAAGGGATGTTCTTAATGCTGGCTATCCTCAGATGCCCTCCTTCTCTTCCTCTCGCTTGCAAGCCCCCCTCCCTCACAGCTTCCAGCGCGACACCCCAGTCACTCCGCAGGAGCAATCTTCACAGGGTAAATGTGGGCTGTTCTGTTCCTAGGGTTACCATGGCCACTCTGAGGCTGGGTAGAGGCTGCCTACTCTACACAGCCGTCGGCAGGATGTTAAGACATGAACTGTTTCTCAGCTGCTCAGGGGCCTGGGAGGAGAGGCTGAGAAAGAGCTATAGGCTACCAGCAGGCCTGGCTGCAGGGTTGCTAGCCTGGCCCATCTGCTCCTTCCCCTGTGTGCCGTCCAGTCAAGAACTGCAGCGTCTCACCCCGTACTGGGCCCGGAGACACAAGTGGAGACACACCAGACAGAATCTGAGCCCGAGGTGGTGGCGACAGTGTCCCGAAGGCCTCCCGTGTGCCCCTGGCCAGCCTACCGACAAACAGTAGGGTGAAGATGATGGCGAGCTGGTACACGGCATGGCCCAGAATGTTCTTCATCATGGTGCGGGAGATGAGGGGCTTGTCACGGCCGTACGGCTTCCGCAGCAGCAGCGACTCCGTGGGTGGCTCCGTCGCCAGGGCCAGAGAGGCAAACGTGTCCATGATCAAGTTCACCCATAACATCTGCACGGCTTTGAGAGGAGAGTCCTACGGAGAGGAGGCAGTCACCTTTCCATGGGCCACCTGCCCGGGAAGGTTGGGGGTGGAAACGCAGTAGCTCCTGGGGGCTCCTCATGGGGTCCACATCACCAGGATTTCATGCCCATGAAAACAGACATCTCCATCCCTACATTGCCTTTACGCTAGCAGGGCGTTTTCTTTGGGCTGTCATGTGCCCGCCTCCCTTCTCTCACCTGGCAGCAGGTGTGCTCCAAATCCCTCGCAGGAGGTGAAAAACCCCAGACCACAAAACAGCCCGACGATGGGGTCTGCCACTGGGGGCAACAGAGTGAGGGCTGCTCTCCTTGTCTCCTGCACCTCAGGGGCAGGAGGAGGCAGAAACTCTGAACTGGACCTTCCTTCTCAGCTCCTCTGAGTTGTTGGTTAAAAATCAGCCTCACAGAAGCCAGACACACAAGGCCACGTACTGTCTGATTCCATTCATAGGAAACTTCCAGAACTGACAAATCCATAGAGAGAGAAAGCAGATGAGTGGGTGCCAGGGGCTGGGGTTCAGGGAGTAGAGAGTGACTGCTCACGGGGTTTGGGTGTCCTTTTGGGGTGGTGATGAGAGTGTTCTGGGAATAGACAGTGGCAATGGTTGCTCGACATTATGGAGGAATATAAACCTCTGAGTTAGGTACTTTCATAAGGTTCAAATGGTTCTGGTGAAGTTTGTTAGGTGATTTTTATCTCAATTAAAAAAATTTTTTTGAAAAGACCAAGTTGATCAGCAGGCAATTTAAATCCCTGTCAGCAACAAATAGGTATTTATTTGCCCCCCTCTTTCTAAGGGGGGGGGGGCGAAGAAAATCTGGACACTCACCAATGGGGAAAATGGGACTATTGAGAAAGGGTTCCCATGGGATGCACAGCCCATGCAGAAACTCATACACAGATGCTCCTGGCAGCACCATTCACAGGAGCCAAAAACTGGGAACAAGCCATGTGTCCATCAGGACAGACGTACATAATGTGGCAATCTGTGCCATGGAGTGTTATGAAGCCATGAAAAGGCAGAAGGTCCTGCCCTCTGTGTGTGTGAGCCTGAAAACGCGGTGCTAAGCGAGATGCCAGACACAAGAGGCCACATATGATTTGATCCCACAGGAATTAAACGTTCGGAACAGGCAAATCCATAGACCCAGGAAGCCCATGAGTGGTTGCTGGGGGCTGGGATGTTTGGGGGAGAAATGGGGAGATGACTGCTCAAGAGCACAGGGTTTCTTTTTAAGATGATGACAGTCTTCTGGAACTAGATAGAGCCGATGGTTGCACAACATGGTGAATGTTCTCAAAATTTGAGTGCTGAATTGTATACTTGAAAATGGTGAATTTTTGGCATGTGAATTTGATGTCAACTAAAATAATCTGCAGCAAAGAAAACAAAACCCTCACTCTCACAATCTGGCCCTCAGGCCTGAGCCCAGGTGTCCTACAGCGGGGGCGCAGCAGCCCCCAGTACCCACCTGAGTAATGCAGGCGCCTGTGAAGGCCACGATCACGGCCACCACATTGACCGTCAGTTGAAACTGCAGGAACTTGGAGATGCTGTCATAGACGTTACGGCCCCACATGACGGCCTTGACGATGCTGGTGAAGTTGTCATCGGTCAGGATGATGTCGGAGGCCTCCTTGGCCACGTCGGTCCCTGCGATGCCCTGCGGGGTGACACACACTCACACACACAGAGTGTTTGTGGGGGCCCCTTCCCCAGACCCCCCGATCACCTGGCCTACCTGGGCTGACTCCCTGCCCTCCCCTTCTGAATAACATCCCACCCCGCCCCCCAAAGCCAAGAACAGCATTGTTTTTGTTGTTGTTGTTGTTTTTATGCAACACATTCTAGTACTATGAACAGTAAGTTGTCACATGTCACAGTGAGGGGGGCTTTGCTCATAAACACATAAAGCCCAGCTGCCACCACGTGGCCACCAAGCAGTGTGGTCTGTTCTTAGCACTCCAGAGACGCTTGCTGGCTAAGGAGCCATGGGAAGTCCTACATGAGGACACCCTGGGCGGGTGGGTCTTTGCCCATGCAAGCGCAGCTGCAGCTGTGCCAAGCTGCTCAGCCCTCTACTCTGACCCAAGCCTGGCCCTGTGACAGCTGCCACCTCTCGAAGCTTGGGCTGGAGCTCCCTTCTGGGCTACAGGTGCTGGGAAGGACTGGGCTGGGTTCCCCGGGTGGCACTCCTTTTCAGTAGGGCAGGGAGAGGCGCTCGCCAGGTTGCTGCGTTCAGCGGCTGTTTTCAGTGGCTGTGGGGCCACTGTGGGGCTGCAACCTGCCATGCGGGTGGTGTCTGCAGGGCCACCCTACTCAGTGGGTGAGCAACAGGAAGGAAGTGCAGAGGAAAAGCACATCTGGGGACTCTGCTTACCTCATCTGGGGATGACAGTCCATTTAGAGAGGACTGGGGGTGGGCAATGCCATCAGTGATGAGCCCCTGCCCCCCATTCCCCTTCCTCTCCACAGTATGTCTGGGGCCCACTGTCACCTTGGGCATCACAGCAGATGCCTTTAACCACATGTCCCCTGAATGGCCAAGCCCACGCCGGCCCAAGTGGCCAGGATGTGAGAGAAAGAACCTTCAGGCACTCTGTAACCTGCCCCAACACTGGCTCCCACTTCCTGGTACAAAGCTAATGTCCATGGGACAGACGCTGGCCCCATCTGCCATGGTGAGTTGGGCTGGCACCAGGTGGCTTACCATGGCGAAGCCTACGTCCGCCTTCTTGAGGGCCGGCCCATCGTTGGTGCCATCCCCTGTCACAGCCACCACCTGCCGCTGCTCGCCAGTGGTGCTGTCGATAATCCCTGCAAGACAAATCAGGGCAGGGCAGGGCTGGGGCCATCTGTCACCACAACCCTGTGTAGCCCAGGGAGCTATGGGGGTAGGTTGGCTGTGAAAACCCTTCAGGATTGCCCCGTCCTGACCGTCCCAGTCATCTGTGCTCCCTGTCACCTGGATCATCTCCTATCCCCAAATAAGTAAGCAAGTCTCACTGAGTGACAGGGCCAGGGTGGGAGGGTAGGGATCTGCTTAGGGCCTGGGGACACGACCCTGGTCCCTGGCTCTAGACCCACTGCTTCTAGAGACTCGCTGTGTGACCTGGAGTGAGTCACTGGCCCTCCCCGAACCCCAGTTCCCTCATGGGCCCCTGCCCTGCTGCTCTGGGCTAATGGGACAAATGGACCCAGCTTCCTAGGCAGGCCCTGGGGACCTGTTTGGGAACCTGGCTTTTGGTGTCAGGAAGCAGACAACCTCAGGTTGGCCACCCCAGGAAAGGGGTGTGGGACCTCGGCTACCTTTGACCAGCGTGTGCTTGTCGGTGGGAGACGACCGGGCCAGCACCCTCAGCTTGGGCCACACCTTGTCCAGCCGCTCCTGTTCTATCTGGGGAGGGGAAGCACAAGGACGCTGCAGAGCTAGGGCGGGCACACAGGGGGCTGGGGGGAGGAGAGGAGGGTCTGGGGTGGCAGACAACTGGGTGCTACCTCGCCTTTCTCGTTGCGGATCCGTCGGTTGAACTCCTTCCCTTCCAGGCACAGGAAGTCCTCCCCGGGCTGGATGATGCCACATTTGGCTGCGATGGCCCGGGCCGTGTTGATGTTGTCTCCAGTCACCATGCGGACTGTGATGCCAGCACGCTGGCATTTTCGGATAGCTTCAGGGACCTAGCAGAGATAAGAGAGGTGGGTGGGGTCATCGAGGCAAGACATATTTTGGGTTGAAGCAGTACCCCTTCCTCCATCAGATCTGCGGCCGGCCCAAAGTCCAGCAGAGATGACAGTAAAGCCAAACCATGGGTCCCCATGCAGGGCCCCTGTGGAGGCATGGGCCCAGAGGAGGCCCAGAGGGTGGCAGGGCTGTCCCGCCCCAGCCAAGCCGCAATGAGCAGGTGCTTGCCTCCTTCACTGTGTCAGGCCCTGGGAGTGCCAGGCCCTGGGGACCAGTGACGACACAGATCCAGGCCCTGATGGCAGAGGCATGGCAGGGAAAAGTCACTGGAAGCTTTACGCTGTTCAGGGGCACCATCAGACTCGCGTCTGGAAAGGTCACCTGGGTGACCATAGAAATCACCCAGCTCTGTCAACCTCATTTTCCAGCTGGAAAACAGACACGGGGCTGCTGAGCCAGGGTCAGCCTGGGTTACAGACAGGCTGGCAGGGGGCATAGCTCTAAAGAAGAAGGAGGAGGGGGCCTCGCACCCTCAGCCACCTTGAGGGCTCCCAGGTAGCCAGAGGGTCCACCACGGCTAGGGTGGGCACCTGGACTCCTCTCTCACTTGCCTCTGTAGCTTATTATGATATTTTAAAACAATATAAAACCTAAGACATTTTTCTCAGGAGTTAATCTTTTTCCTAGTGTAGTTTTGCAGGACAACATCTCTCTCTCCTCTCCAGGGGAAGCAGAACATAGCTTTGGTTGTGTAGTGCACATTTCCTTTTTCAAACACAGATGCTCCTCAATTTACAATGGGGTTAGGTCCCGATAAACCCATGATAAGCTGAAAATACCGTAAGTCAGAGATGGCTTAGCTCAGCTCACCTTACACGTGCTCAGAACACTTACATTAGCCTACAGTTGGGCAAAAGCATTGAACACAAAGCCTACTGTGGAATACAGTGCTGATTATCTCATGTAACTCACTGAACACTGCACTGAAAGGGAAAAACAGAATGGTTGTATGGGACTCGAAGTAAAGTTTCTGCTGAATGCGCATCGCCTTTGCACCAAGTTAAGAATTTGTTAAAAATTGGGGGCCACCTGCATCATATTAGATTCTGGAGAAAGAGAAAGAGGTTCCCCAGTGCTGAGTGGAAAGCACTGCACGGGGTTGAGAGCGGGAAGCCAGGAGATCGGCCGGGAGGTGGTGGCATTGTCCCAGTGGTGGGGGGACAGGGAGTTGCTCTTCAGGCTCAGAGACAGAGAGACAGGGTCAGGCAGCTGATGCCACTGAGGTGGAGGGGCAAGGGGAGAGGAGAAGAGGAGCCAGGTTCAGAGTTTGGGAACCTGAATGAGGAGGTCAGGCCTAGGCAGTGGGGCTTGTGAGCACTGTCGGGTGAGTGCAGAAGCCTAGGTGTGGCCAAGCCCCCAGGCCTAGGGAGCCTGGGGTGGGTGGAGTAGACACGCAAGAGCAGGAGCCAGGGGCGGGGCAGCCGGGAGAGGCCAGGGGAGGACATTGACCTGGGAGTCCCGGCATGCTGGCAGCCCCTGAGGCCATGGGCAGGGGGGCTGTGACCTTTGCCAGGGAGACAGCTGGGGCCCCGCTTCAGGCTGTGGCAGAGTGATCCAATGGTCCCTGCAGCGAATACCACCAAGTGGCCTCGCTGTCAGCCTCGGGGACACTTTCTACTCTCTGAGGATCTTGGGGTGCTGGATAACAAGATCATGAGCCACAGAAAGACAATTCTCCTCTGAGCCAGTGAATGCCTGGCCCTGAAACGTCTGGAAGCCACCCTCTGCTGCCACCAAGTGGCCGTGACGAGCCTGAAAACCAGCAGTTGCGAACCCAGGCCTCCTGCCTCCTCAGGCCCAGTGTGTGTAGCCCGGTTTCTTCCCCAAAGGAAGAAACCCCCAAAGGGCCCCAAAGGGCCAGGCCAGGCTGTCCTTCCTCGCCTGCTCAGCCCTGCTCCCTGCCTTCTCCCCAAGGCCCCACAGCACAGCAGCCAGCCAGGTGTCTGGAGAAGTTGCCAGTGCCCCCCGCTGGCCCAGCTCCAGCATCAATACCACCCCTGCCACAGGCTTCCTGTGGCCCCCCAGGGCCCAGCCCCGCGGGCCCTCCTCTGGCTGCAGCCGTGCCACATCTCCAAGCACCCTGGCAGGTTTCAGTGAGGCCCTTGTGCCTACTGCCTGTTGTTGGCAACCAGGGCTTCACTGGGCCCTCTGTGTGTCCTCAGCCACCACCAGGCTGGCCAGTCTTTGTGGGGGTCTGCCCAGCCTCCACAGCCTGGCCCTGTCACTGTGGTCTACCACTTGGACTCTCTCTCAGCCACTCGCAAGCTGGGAAGGAGCTGGCCCTCTTCCCCAGGACCCTCTGGCAAGATTCCTTCCTCTGCTCCGTGCTTCAGTTGCTCCCTGGTCCAACAGAGGGACTCGATGGCTCCTGAAGGGAAAGGCCTCTAAGCCTGTCCCCAAGTGTGGCCTTGCTTCACCTCACCAGCACCCTCTCCTTCTGCTCTCCCAGGCTCAGCGGGGTCCGGGACTCACGCCACTGCCCACCATCGTGGGGCCCATTGCCCTCGCTGGACTTCTCTGCCCTGTCCTCCGCTACCACCCATTTTCTCCCAGGGCAGGTTTGAGGTGCTCCCTCTCCAGGCGTAGTGACCATGTTCTCCTCGGGGCGCAGGGCTGCTCTGTTGACATGACCCCATGGCTGGTGTTTAGATGCACTGTCTTTGAATCAAGTGTCTTTGCTACGTGATCCAATACATGCATACCTGTCTCCCAAAGGAGAGCCCAGAAGCTTCTCCTCCCGGGTTACACTTGCACCCCCAGGGTGGCTCCTACAAATACAAGTTCTCAGGGTGATAGGCAGGATCAAAGAGGCCCTGCTGCTGACAGAGGTGGGTGCCATGCAGAGGCCCTGGGGAGACAGAGGGGTACCCCACACCTTACACTCTCCCTCCGGGGCTGGCCATCCTCCAGGCCTGGATCCCTCCAGGCTCTGGGATCTTTCAACAACAAAGTGACTTCCCAGCGTCAAGGCTGTGGCATCTGCCACACAGACTTCAAGGTCTCCCTCGTCTGGACTCCCCTGGTGGCATCGTCCATATGGAGATATGCTTCTGGGCTCCCTCTCCCACCAGGACCTTTGCTATGAGCTCCCCACGGGACGTCCTGACTGTTGAGTAGCCCCAGCCAAACTCTCAAGCAATAAACGCCCACCCTGTCCCCCAAACCTGTGTCCCCTCAGGCTTCAGCACCACCTCCAGTCCATCAGTCCTGGGCAGATCAGATCCCAAATGTCGACGGTCTCTCTGCCACTGCCACCTTCTCACCTGGTAGAAGGTGAGGCCTGAGCTGGGCCCATAGGCCAAGCAGGAGAGGCCTTCCAGCAGGCAAGACAGAGCCTTTGTGCGGGTGCCAGGGCGAGAGCACCCAGAACAGGGCTCAAGTGTACTACGGAGGGACCGCAGCAACTATGTGTGAAGGAAGGCCACCCCTACCAGTCTGGACAAGCTCGGGCAGAGGGCACAGTTACCAGGGCAGCTCACAGAGAAGGCAGGGACTACCTCGGGCCGCACGGGGTCCTCAATGCCCACGACAGCTATGCAGGTGAGGTCACCCACGACCTCGTTCTCGTTGTCCCAGTCGGGCTCCTGGCCTGCAGAGAAGTCCCGGTAGGCGATGCAGATGGTGCGGAGGCCATCGCAAGCCATCGGCTCAATGATCTTCCTCACCATGTCGTCCCGGTCCCGAGGCCGAAAGCCTCGGAGTTCGCCATTGCTGTTTAAGATGTTGGTGCACCTAGGCAGGGGGTGGGCAGAGATGAGGTGGAGGTGGGGAGAGAACAACAGGAAACAGCTCTGGTAACACTGGATTGGGGGCTTAGCCAAGGACTGGGGTCCTTATCAGAGAGGAGAGCCCCGTGTGAGAACACAGACACACAGGGAGAACGCTGTGTGACAACAGGCAGAGATTAGAGAGGGGCAGCTGCGAGCCGAGGAACACAAGGACTGGCGGCCTCCACCAGAAGCTGGAGGAGGCAGGATGTGTCCTGCCTGACATGTTTTGGAGGGGCTTCAGCCCTGCCCAGGCCCTGATTTGGACTTCTGGCCTCCAGAACTGGGGGAGAATCCATTTCTGTTGCTTGAAGGCACCAGGACACTCATGCACTGCTGCAGGCTGAGAGACCAGGAGAGAGGGAGGCAGGAGTATGCGGCTCACGGCAGCTCCACCAGATACTTCATGGGACAAGGGAGTGGAACATGGGCAAAAACTGAAGTCTGTGGACAATCGCTATAACCACATTCAGGCAGCCACAGCCTCAGTAGAGCACTCATGACTCCAGGAGTTTCTCAAAAGGGACAGGACTAGGAGGATTCAGGCGGGGAGAGGAGGGAGCAAAGGAGCTGAGGGCCACAGAGGTGGGCGTGGTGGAAGAAGCCAGTGGGGCTGTGAGTGCCAGGTGCTGCCACTCAACAGGAGGCTGGTGATGAAGGAAATTATCATAACAGAAGCTGTGCAGACGGAGGGCCTCCTACGGATGTGGATTCACCCACAGAGTCCTCACACCCCTCCCCAGAGATAAGTATTCTGTGATCTCCATGCTGCCGGGGAAGCTGAGGCATGGGAGTAGGGGGAGTAACTTGCTCATGTATGCACAGCCAGCAGAGTGAAGCTGGGCTGGGCCTTTTATCCTCAGTGCCTCAGTGTCCCCCAGTGCCCACCAAAAAAGCAGCACAGAAAGAGGGCTGAGGCCCCCACACCAGCAGGGATGGCTCCAGGGAGGAGGTGGTCCTGGCCCTGGCGGTGAACGCTGCGCCTGGCAGAGTTCTCGGGAGAGCGCTGTGGGTGGGGAGGTCAGGCAGGGTGCACTTGGTGGTCCAGTCCACTGAATGCAGGAAGGAGGGCTGGGCCTGGGCCTTTGGGGAGCCCTGGGCGTTCTGCAGAGGACCCTGCCCTGAGGGCCCTGAGATGGCAGTCATGAGGAGCCAGGTGGGTGGGGGACAGAGACGCCAAGGCCAAGGGTGTGGAGTGCGGGAAGGCTGAGTGGGAGTGGGGAAGCCAGAGCACTTGGAGGTGACGCTGTGCGCTCTCCCTCACTTTGTTCTAATAGCTTTATTGGGATATAATTCACGCACCACACAGTCCACCCATTTAAAGTAGATAACTCAATGGTTTTTAGTATAGTCACAGAGTTGCACAACCATCACCAGTCTCCAATTCCAGAAAATTTGCATCATCTCTAAGAAAATTTTCATCATCTCTAAGCAACAACAAGAAAATAGATCAACTGGACGTCATCACAATTTAAAACATTTGTGCATCTAAGGACACTATCAAGAGAGTGAGGACAGGCCACAGAATGGGACAGAATGTGTAGAAATCGCATAGCTGATAAGGATCTAGGATCTGGAATATATAAAGAACATTATAGCCCACCAATAAAAAGACGAACAACCCAACTCAGCACCAAACCAAGGGCTGGGACAGACATTTCCCCAAGGAAGACAGGCAAATGGTCACTCAGCACATCAAAAGAGATCAAAACCACCAGGAGATATTGCCTCATACCCACAAGGATGGCCCCCCCATCAGCACTGACACACTAGAAAATAAGTGCTGCTGAAGATGGGGAGAAGGTGGAACCCTCCTATGTCACTGGTGGGAATGTGAAATGCTGCTGCCCCTGTGGAAAACAGTTTGGTGGACACCACGAGCCAGTCATTTCTCTCCTAGATGTCCACGCAAAAGAATTGAAAACATGGGTTCAAACAAAAACTTGTACATGAATGTTCACAGCAGCGTGACTCGCGACAGTCAAAAGGTGGAAACGACTCACATACTGGTACACGGATGAATGAATGAATGGACCAACAAAATGTGCTTTACCACACAATGGGATATTACTCAGCCTTAGAAAGAATGGAAGTTTGGGCTGGGCGCAGTGGCTCATTCCTGTAATCCTAGCACTTAGGGAGGACGGGATGGGTGGATCGCTTGAGCCCAAGACTTCAAGACCACCCTGGGCAACATGATGAGACCCCAGCTCTACAAACAATTTAAAAATTAGCTGGGCGTGGTGGCATGCACATGTAATCTCAGCTACTCGGAACACTGAGGTAAGAGGATGGCTTGAGCAACAAAACAAAACAAAACAAAACAAAACAAAACAAAACAAAACAAAACAAAAAAGGAAGGTCTAATACCTGGGTGAAACTGAAAAACTTTACACTAAGGAAAGAAACCAGACACAAAAGGCCACACACTGTATGAGTCCCTTGATAGGAAATGTCCAGACAGGGAAATCCATCCAGACAGGAAGCACATGAGTGGGTGCCAGGTCTGGGGAGGGGAGTGGGGAGGGCTGCTCATGGGTCTGGGGTTTCTTTCCAGGGTGATGGAGGTGTTTTGGAACTGGTTAGTGGTGGCGGTTGCATGATATTGTGAATGTGCTTAATGCCATTCAACTGGACACTGTAAAGTGGTTGAAATGGTGAATTTTATGTTTGGCCTCTTTTACCACTACAATAGCATCAGAAACTCTGCACATACCCCGGCACCTCCCTGCTGCTCACTCACTTTTTCAGCAGGATCTCTGAGGCCCCCTTGCTGAAGAGGCGGAAGCCACCGTCGGGCATGCGGATGACTGTGCTCATGGACTTGCGGACCGAGTTGAAGGTGTATACTTTGTAAAGCTTGTCTTCCGGGATCTGCTCGCGCACGGGCTGGAAGTCTCGCTTCAGGTCCAAGACGAAGCCCAGCAGGGCGCACTCCGTCTTATTGCCCACCTGGCGTGGGAGGGCACCTTCCTTCTCAGGAGGCTGCAAGATGAGGAGGGCTAGCATGGCACTGGGGGCCTGTGACCACCCTCCATGCTGCCCCTGGAGCCCCAGCTCTGTCCCCTTGTGGTCACCATATTGTTAGGGCGTGGGAGGCGGGGAGCAGAGGAAGGTCTGCCTTAGCTACAGGCAGTTTCCCAGCCAGAGCCACCTGTGCGGCCAGGGATGGGCAGGAGGGTAAGCAGCACCCCAGAGACCACTGTGGCTCTGGGCCAAAGTTCTCAAGGGGGGGCCTAATGAGCACCTTGCAACAGCTCACCTGGCACCCTGGCCAGGTCCCTCCGCTGCTCCCACCCCCAGCCCTGCCCGCCCGCTTCTGCCCCAGCTCACTAGTATTTTGGTGGTATAGGCACTGTTGATGGAGATGGCATGGACCAGGAGGTCGAGGATCTTAGGGGTCAGGGCGCTGGGGGCCGGAATCTCTTTGTAGTGGGTGTCCCCTAGGTAGGACTGGACCACGGTCATACGGTTGGTGGTAAGTGTGCCCGTCTTGTCAGAGCAGATGGCTGTGGCATTGCCCATGGTCTCGCAGGCATCCAGGTGGCGCACCAGGTTGTTGTCTTTCATCATTTTCTGCAAAGGGCAAGGGTATGGGCATTTGGCCCAGGTGCTTGTTGGGGTGGGGGAGTGAGAGATGTCAACACAAACACCGCACGACTCTGTTCTGCTCAGTTAGCTCCACGTGTGGCACTAAGAACACTGGGGACCTCGGTCAGCCCTGAGCCAATAGCAAGGCTATAAGGCATCAGAAACCTCATGCAACGGTGGGGGTGGGATGAGCACCTGGGACCTTCCCTGCCCGAGCCCCCTCTCAGTTACCCACCCACCAGCCCTGCAGCTCTCCCACCCCACCACCCCACTCCTGGCTCCCTCCACTCCTCCCACTGCCTCCCAGTGTCCCAGGACCTCTGCTGATTCCCTGCCTCCCCACTGCCTCCCGGCCCCTCCGTCCTACTGCCCACATTGTGCAGATGCTGACCCCTGGGTATTCCACTGCCTGCCTGCTTTCTGGCGCATCTCATGCCCAGGGACTTGAGCTGACAGATCAGCAAAGCTGCCCCCTGGGTCCCTGCTCGGCACCTCCTCTCCTCCCTTGAGCCATCCTAAATGTCCTCCAGTTTATACTGCTGCCAAGGCGCCCAATGACTTCTTACCCCAGTTTCCTAGTCTGTAAACAGTATCAACTGTAAGTTTTATGATTACCTTGACAGAGTAAGCTAAGGAGATGGTGACTGCAAGTGGCAGGCCCTCTGGGACAGCCACGACCAGCACAGTGACACCAATGATGAAGAACTTCACGAAGTATTGCACATAGACCGGTGTGCACTCTGCCAGCCACGTCCGGCCTTCCAAAACAAACGTCTCGATCACAAAGTAGAGGACCAGGATGATGACGGTGATGGCGGACATCACCAGCCCTGCCACAGAGGAGGGAGGAGAGGAAAGGGGTTGCCACGGGAGAGGGAAGGAGGGGGACAGGAAGAGAGAAGAAGAGGTATGGGCATGGTCTTGGAGGCATTTGTGAAGGCCTTGTAGATTTGCATTGCGTTTCAGGATAAACAGCGCGGGCTTGGCTCAGCAGGGGAGCTGGTGCCTGTTTGCAAGGGGGTTCTGCGTGGCCTCTTCTGGAGTCCTGCTGGGGTTGGGGAGTGGACTTTGTGGCCTGATGGCACGAGAGGCACCGCTGGGGAGGGCTAGCAAGAGTCTATCCTGCACTGCCCCCGAGAAGTTGGGGTACCAGCCCCGCATGCCCCCAGCTGCTTTATGAGCCTTGGGTAGGGGCACCTCATGGGCAGTGGCTCAGTGTGTGACCTGGGGTGTTCGTTGAGGGTTTGGGATTTATGCTCGCTAGGGAAGGGCTGCACCAGACCCCGATGGCCACTGCCGGCCCTGGCCTGTGCCCCTGGCTGCCTGGCCCACACTTCACCTGCCACATTCCTTCCCACTTGCTCTGCACAGCCTGGGCTCATCTCCAGGAGCCCAGTGTCCTCCACGCCCAGTCGATGGCCTGGGCCCGCCACCTCCTGCTGTCCCTACCTGCTTTCCCGATCTGCACCGCTAGCTTTGTGAGCTTTCCCTGAAGGACAGACTTCTCCTTCTTGGGTGCGTTGGCTTTCTTCTTCTCCCGCTCCTCCATCTCCCCACCCTCCGCGCTCTTCAGGGGCTGCATCTCCATGGCCACTGCGCCATCCTGCTTCTTAGCTGCACACAGAGGAACCCCATGGCCAAGGTCAGTGCCTGGCTGGGGAGAAGGGGTTACAAGGGGCTTTTGTGGGGTAAGACATGCCACACCATAGAGAGGAGACGGGATTCAGTGGAGCTCTCCTATTTCAAGTCTATCAACTTCCCATCTCTCGCCTCCTAAGCTCAAGCCCTCTTGGGGTGGGTGGGGTGGCTCCAGCACTGTTCTAGGTGGGACAGAGATGGTTCTCTCGGGAGAAGGGAGGACAGACACAGCACAAGGAATTTGGGCACACAGACAGGATGACCAGTCCTGGAATGCCCCAAATAATACCTGAGAGCAGAGGCCTGTGGCCCAAGGAATGTTCCAGAACCCTGAGCTGACTCATCTGCCTACTGCTGTCCGAGCCCCCTCCTACCTCCCTTAGGGAGGCCCAGGAGCCCCATGCACTCTCCTCCCACCAGCCAGCCCTGCGTCTGTTCAGGCTCCATCTGTCCCTCCAGCACCCTCCCTGTCTCTCCCTTCTTCTCTGGTGGGCCCTGTGCTCCTCATCCTTGCTGCCCTCGACATGGTGGGGGTGTGCCCCCCACTCTGGCTCCCTCCTCTATGCACTCCTCTGCTTCTGTGACTTCCTCATCTCCCTCCTTGCCAAGCTCTGGTCGCACCCACTCCACAGCCCAGAGTAATCCTGGCCACCCCACCTCCCTTTTGTGCCCAGGGACCGACGCAGCGACCTGGGGAGAGCAGACTCGTCTTTCTCCCTCACTACTCTGATCCCCGATCCACTGGGGCTCTTGGCACTACCGCCATCACCTCTGCCTCCTCCTGCTCCTCCTCACCTGCCAGCCCGAGGCCATTTGCCATGGCTCCTCTTCCGAGTAGCGTCAGGACACAATTGCCCCACGCAGCTGGTCCCCTCTAGCTTTGTGCCCCACCTGCTGCCACCTCCTCAACCCAGGGCTCCAGCCATTGGGCTGTCCCCCAGTGCCCTCCCAAACCCAGCTCCATACTGGGCGTTGCCTGGGTCATCTCTGCCCGTGACCTTCCTGAGGGTCAGGACCTGCCTTGTCCCCCATGGCCTCCCAGCACCTAGAGCTGGCTACTGCATTGGCCCATATCTCCTCTCCTCCGTGGGCCACGGCCAGCCTCCTCCCCCCTCCCCCCACCCTGTCTCCTGCTTCCTGCGTCTCACAGCCAGGCACACGCTGGCCCTAGGGTGTTGGCACCTGCCAGGCGTCTGGGGCTGAGAGGAGAGCCGGGCCTCTGGCCCTCAGAGGACCACTCTGTCTCCCAGGTCCACAGGCTTGGCTGAAAGGAAGCTGGCCTGGGAAACACTGACTGGGACCCAGAACTTCAGGCGAGTCAGCCCTTCTGGGCCTCAGTTTTCTCATCTGGCCAGAGTGGACTCGGGGCGCCCACTCATGCTGGGCTAAGGTCTCCTCTAGGTGGCTGGGCTGAGCTGCCAGCAGTGTCTGTGGCCAGGATGCCCTGTGCAGCCCCAGGGGTGTGCTCTCTCCTCCCTCTGCACTGGGACGGGACTGTGCAGCCCACTCACCTGGTCTCCAAGTGCTGCTCCTGCCATTGAGGCAGGTGACCCTCCCCCCACACTGTGCCCTCCACCAGCCCCGCCCCCAGGGCTCCAAGCTAGTGGTACCCAAGCAGCGGCGCCCGTTACCTTTGGTCTGGCTACTCTCCATGGCCCCATCCTGCTGCTTGCCTACAATGGAAGAGGGATGACAGACACGAAGGCTTGAGGACACCGTGTGGCACATACATGCACATGCACAGCACAGCCTGGGGGCCGCGTGGCAGAGGGGGTGGGGAGGAGGGGCCTGATTGCTGGTGACCCTAAGCACTGCCCACCGCAGCACTTTCTTCATGCCTCGTCCTCTCCAGGCTCACCCCGTCACCACTTCCCAGCACACGGTCACCATGAACACTGGCATTCCTGAGCCAGACCTCTGCCCAGGGCTCCCCCTTGGGCCTTAAGCTCAGCCCTACAGAGAACCCCTAAAGCCAGCCTTGGAAAGGCCCTGGGTCACACATAGCTGGCAGTGGGAGGTTCCTGGAAGCTGGAACCTCCCCAGGTCAGGATGTCTGCTCCTTGCAAACCAGCTCAAGGGGTTCACTTAGATGGCCCCTAACCCCTGGAAGCCAGGCAGACAGCACCCAGCTCCCCTTGCCTAGGGATCGGTTTTCCCTGCAGTCACGTCTAGCAGTTAGCTCAGTGTGTGTGTGTGTGTGTGTGTGTGTGTGTGTGTGTGAGCACTGCAACCTCCACCTCCCAGGTTTAAGTGATCCTCCTGCCTCAGCCTCCCAAGTAGCTGGGACTACAAGCATACACCACCACGTCCAGCTAATTTTTGTATTTTTAATAGAGATGGGGTTTCGTCATGTTGGCCAGGCTGGTCTCGAACTCCTGACCTCAAGTGATTCACCCGCCTTGACCTCTCAAAGTGTTGGGATTATAGGCATGAGCCACTGCACCTGGCCCCAGTGTGTGTTTTAAAGGGACAAAGGAATGAGACTCTAGGACTCTGCCGGGTGCTTTTAGGTCATTCATTGGTCAACCCAGGGCTACTGCACAGGAGTGCCAGCCTGAGCACTAGCACCCAGCAGCTCTGGAAGGCCAGGCTGGCCCCAAGTGGCCCTATCCAGGGGCTCAGGTGGTGGCACAGCCACCCCTTCTGAGAGCTGCAGTTAGAGGAACTTCCTGGGGGGCCCCATCTGCACCAGCCCTAGCTCTGGAATCCAACCAACTAGGGCAGGAGGGGCTTGTGGCCAGTCACCCATCCAATGGCTCATGTCACTGGGCATCCAGGGACACAGATGGTGCCAGGTGGCTCCCAGGCAGTTGGGGTTGGGATCTGGGGTCCCCAGGCAGCAGGGAGAGCACCGCTTCTCCCTCAGCCAGGGGTGGGGCATTGATCAGGCCTTCTTTGCCCAGGGTTCCTGTGGGCATAGAGGGCCTTCTTGCAGGGAGGAGAGACCCCCATGGACACAAGATGGCAGTGTGATGACCGCACAGCACAGCAGGGGAGACAGCAGAGCCTTGGGGCCGTGGGGGCCTGAAGGAAGCATGGACTCCAGACCCAGCCTGCACACAAGCCCTGGGAGGCCTCTGGAGGAGGGAGGCAGGGGGAGGCTTGGGATGAGTATTGCTGGAAGAGGAGGGCTGGGCCCTGCCAGAAGAGGCAGGAGTGGGGGGAAGGTGAGGAGGGGAAGCACACTTGGAGAAAGGTGCTTAGGAGTCAAGGTCAAGAGACAAGAAATAGGGAGTTGGGTGCAGGTAGAAGGCAAGTATCCTGGGCATGTACTGGGCAGGCTGCACCAAACAATGGGGATGGGGCGGGAGAGACGGGGAGGATGAGCAGGGAGCCCCCTGGTCTTGCTGCTACCCTTTCCCCAACTGGTCAGCTGCTGTTCTCCCTCCAGGGACCCCTCAGGTTTCCCTTCCTCCAGGAAGCCCTCTAGCTCTGACTCCTAAGTAACACAGCCTGAGGGTGCTGGAGAGGAGGGGCAGGTGGGGCCTGGGAGGGGCTAAGTGGTCTTGTCAATTTCAAAAAAAAAAAAAGGAGAGGCCTGGAACAGTTAGGGAGGACACTCTCATTTAAGGTACAGAGAAGGTGAGCAGCCTGGGAAGGGTGGCTGGAGACTCCAGAGGAGCGTGGGTTCCTGTGGACGATGGGAGAGGGCAATGTGTGCAAGGCATGAGGAGGCAGCCCAGGCAGGGGCAGCTGGGCTTCCCAGGACAGAGGCCTAGGGACTCCAGCCCAGCCCAGATGAGGCTCAGGGCCGCCCATTTGCCTGTGCACCCCCAGGGCACTCACTGGGGTGACACTGCACTGAGCCCTACAGGACTTGGTGCCACAAAGAAGAGCCGGTACAGGGAGACACAGGCCCAGGCTGCCAGAAGGCAGGGCTCGTGGAAGCTTCCAGGCCACAGAGGGTCATCCAGGTACTCCCTTGCTGCCTCCTGGGGTCAGGGCTGACTTTTCCCCCGGGCCCTGACTGCCTGCCCCACGTCCCCACGCTCCGTGCACTGGCCCCAGGGCCCTGGCTGGAGGTCCCTGGCAGGAAACAGAGCTTTCCCATGTGGGTGCAGCTCCCTACTGTGGTTTCGCTGCAGGAGTGGCCAGAAGGCAAGCCCAGGCCAGACCAAGGCCGCCCAGTCAGAAGGAGCTGTGACAGCAATTTGATCTTGTCCATCAGGGCCTCTCTGAATAGTCCTCAGGTTAGAGGGTCTGAGGACTCCATCCACTGCAGGGCCTGATGGTGACAGCTCCAGCCACACGGCAAGGAACGGGCCCCCCTGGCTCAGGCTTGCCTAGCTTTGTAAGCTCCAGGGCAGGGCCACCACCCACAGGTGGGCTGCCCTGCCCTCACCTGTCCCAGCCTCCTCTGACCTCTGACCCCCACCTCCCTGGCTGCCTCGTGGCCCCCGTCCCTCTGACCCCATTCCTGCCTAGGTAAGTATGGGATCCCGAAGCCTTTGGGGATGGTGGTCTCAGGGAAGCTCCCTGTCCACAGCACTGGAGGGGCTCTTGGCCTGCCGGCCCTTAGGGGGAAAATCCTCAGAAGAGAAGTCTCCAAGGAGAATCAAAAGAGAGGGCCCGGCCTCCCACCCACTTGGGCTGGCTCTCCCTGAGCCCCCAGTGGCACCAGCCCGCAAAGAGAGAATGGGCTGCATGGAAGGAGCTCCCACCAGCGCCAGGGACTGGCGGCACTGCTGCGCTACCTTTCTTATCTTTCTTCTCTTCCTCCTCTCCACCAGCTCCAAGCAGCGTGAAGATGATGCCTGTCTGTGAGTTCACACCAACGGCGGTCACCACCATTCTTCCAGAACCTTCCATGACATGAGTGCCTGGAACAGCAACACAGAGACTGAGACAGGAATTTGCACCACCCAGTGGGAGACATATTCAGTGCCCACAACTTGTCTCCCAGGGTCTCCCAGAAGCAGGGACGCGGCGTCCAGGCCGCTAGAGGCTGTGTCCACCTTAAAACTAGGCTGAAGCCTCCTCCCTGGCTTGGAGGGGACCCCGAGGCCCACAGGGCCCACTTAGGGCCTCCAGCCTTCCTGTCCCGTTTCACACTACGTTTCCAACTGGGATAAACACTGGGCTACGTTGAAACCTTCCGGAAAGGGAACACTAGCCCCACTGGATATTGTCGAGGGGCTGGATTTGGGAGAAGCACAGTGCTGTGCTGACCCCCGCAAGCCTCTCTGCTTGGGGCTTCCCATTCAGGACACAAAGCACTCTCCTGGGCCTGGAGGGCCAACTGCCTCGCCCTGTGGCTGGAGCTGCCACGATCAGGCCTCATGGTGGACGGAGTCCTCGGAGTCCCAACCTGATGGTTATGCTGGAAGGCCCTGGTGGACATTATCCTGTCCAGGCCGCCTGCTGGGCTACATGGCTGCTGACGCCCTTTGGTGCCAGGCTGGCCAGGAGGGTGGCCCTCACCTGAGAGCAGCATGGGATCTTTGTCGGCTGACTTGCGCACATGGTCAGACTCGCCCGTCAGGGAGCTCTCGTCGATCTTGAGGTCATTGGCCTGGATGAGCACGCCGTCGGCTGGCAGCAAGTCACCTAGAACACCGGGAAGCAGAGGCCTTTCTCCCCACCACCTCCTCCCAGCTGCCCCAGGGGAGGTCCCGTCAGGTGCCGTGGGCCGCCTGGGAAAGGGACTTGGGAGCCCTCCTCCTTCTGGGGAATGAGGACATTTGCATCCTTTGTAGGGGGGAAGCCCTCCACAGAGGCTGTGGGGACAGCTGATTCCTGGGGGGCCTGCTGTGTCTGAAACTCTCCCACTCTGCCCTGCCCGGTGCTCCCCCCACCTCCCCCACCTCCGGCCTCCTGCAGGTGATGGCACCCATGCCGCCGGGAAGAACCTGTGCTGGGGGTCTCCTCTGGCCCACCCTCCCCAGAAGCAGGAGCCGAGCTTCCTTGACAGGGTAGGTGAAGACCAGGGCACTCACCGTACTTGACCTGGGCAATGTCCCCCACCACCAGCGCAGCCACGGGGACCTGGAGGAGCTGCCCGTTCCGGATGACCGTGAACTTCTGCTCCTGCTCAATTCGGCTCTGCAGGCCTCGAAACTGCTTCTCCTTGCTCCAGTCATTGAAGGCTGTGACCAGCACCACACAGATGACAGACAGCAGGATGGCAGCCCCCTCTATCCAGCCAGCCTCGGCCTCACCCTCATCTTCTGTGCCTCCTGACACATTCCCGCAGGCTGTGCCAAGGACAAAAGGGAAGCAGTGGAGGAGACATCACCATCCTGTGACCCTCTCTCATCTCAAGCCCCATTCCTCCCCCTCCTTCCAGCCCAGGCCCCCGGGCTTTACCTTCACTCTCCTCTCCCGGCGGCGCATAGAACGAGAGGCCCAGAGAGACGATGGCAGCCACCTCCAGGATGATGAGGGTCACGTCCTGCAGGGCCTCCCACACCAGCTGCAGGAAGGTCTTGGGTTGTTTGGGGGGGATGAAGTTCTGCCCGTAGATCTGCCTGCGCTTCTCCAGGTCATTGGTGTTGTCCGCCAGGCCTGCGTGGTGCCCGGGAAGCACAGAAGGAGAGGATGGGATGGGACGGGCCGGCCTTGTGTGTCCCAGGCCTCCTACGTGGCCCTGCTTGACTGCTCCTTGGGTGGCAGCAGCCCTCTGGGGCCGTCTGGCCAGCGCCTGGCTCTCCCTCTAGACAGGAGCCTTTCTGCAGACCGCTGGGGGTGTGCACGTGGGAGTGAGCACGCGGCCCTCTGGCTGCTGTCACGGGGAGTCCCTAGCCATCCTCCTCCTGACACACAGATGGCAAAACAGGCCAGGAGGCTCCCGGACTCCAGCAGGTCCCAGGTCCCTGTGCTATCCTGGCCACCTACATACTACCACTGAGGGGGCGCGGAAGGCAGGGGACAGGACCCAACAAGGGGGCACAGAGGGGACCCAGTAGGGTATTGCCAGGTACAGCCAAGGGTTGCTAGGAGACAGGACAGAAGAGAACAGCCAACCGTCCCCTGGGGAGGAGAGCAAGTGTCCAGGGCACTTTAGTGGAGACATGGGGAGGGCCACCAATCAGGAGAGGCAGGGATGGCACCAGATGCCAAAGACTAGGCCAAGGCTCTGTGCCTGTCAGGAAACACCTCTCTTGCTCCTAGCCTATGAATTCCCTGAGCAGGCTTGTCACCAACACCCCGCTCCCCAGCTCTGTAAGATAGGGCCAGCCGGTCCCAAAGACTGGCAGTGTCACACACCCCAACATGTGAGGATAGGAACAGCCTGCAAAGAGGGTGGGCAGGGCCTGAGGGACTGGGGCATGAGCATGGCCAGTGACAAGGGATCGGGAGTCTCCAGGGTGCCTGCGACTGCTGGCGACAGGGAATGGAGGCCTACTTTCCAGAAGTTTCTCAGGGAAGAAGCAGTGGGGAGGGAACATGAGAGTTAGTGGGAGATGCAAGTTCTTGGGTCTAGAGACCCAAAGAGGAAGAACGGTGTGGCGTGAGGAGAGAGGCATGGGAGCGGGTTTCCGGTGGGGAACAGGCAGGGAGAAGCCAAACCGGAGTCACGGTGCTGAGGGAGGAGACTGGGAAGTCTTCAAGCCTTTTCTGGGCTGCATGGCCTCGCAGGGGTCAGGGAGACACTGCCCACCCTGGGCTGCTCATCAGCTGCTCTCTGCAGGGCGCAGACAAGGCAACTGAGGCTGCAGGTGGAGAGGGCCCTGTAACCATGAGTCAGAGCTCTGGCCTGTGGCCCAGGTCAGGACAGAACCTACGCTGCCCGACAGGACCCAGCGAGCACAGGGCCCTCAGGACCCAGCCGCCTTGGTTCTAATGTAGCTCCAGCGCCAACTTTGAGCCCTCAGCCAGGGCTCACAGCTCGTCTACATGGCGACTTGAATGACACCCAGAGCCATTCAGAAGCCCCAAATGGACTTTGCCTTCACAATCAGAGCCACTTGTCCCTATCCAATTCTGTCACTTGTCATCCTCGAGGATGCTCACTTCTCAGTCTTCCTTGGCCTGAAGGTACTGGAAATTTACACGTGTGACTGGCATCCAGGCCTGGACACCCACTCAGCCACTTTCTACCAGGGTAGGCATGTGGCATGACACCATCCTCTGGCCTCACCCTTGGCCCCAGGATTCTCAGCCCCCGCTGATGCGGAGGAGCCCTCCCGGGGGCTCACCCGGCGCCCGGTGCTGTGGCGGCCATGACCAGACCCACACTGACACCTAGTGGACAGAAAGCAGCTTGCAGCTCCCAGCCCTGGGCAGCTGGGCTTACGCCTGCCATCTGCTGCAGGGACCGGATGACCAGAGAGCCCAGCCCCAGCCCATGGGGCACTCACAGTGTGTCTGGGAAGGCACACAAGACTCCCCAGATGACTGGAGAACAGGCACATGCTAACCTTGGGGCTTCTGAGGAGGGATTGGGGTAGGGGTAGCCCTGGTCGCAGTGGAACAGAAGCTGTCGCCTGCAAAGCCACAGCTCATTCGCCCCAGCTGGGTGATGGCCACATGGCATCCTCCCCACCCAGAAGAGCCGCAGCTGTCCCTGCCTCTCTCCCCGTGGATCAGGTTTCTTCAGGAGCCAAAGGCCTCTTGCTGAGGCCTGAGCCTGCCCCAATCGGGAGCCTGGGGGTAACTCACGACCTCATTTCCTGGGTGGTGGGGAGGGGGCTGGGGACCAGGGACCCAACTGAGGGGTGTGCACCTCGCTCCGGACTGGGACTGTCTCCTGGAATTACAGGAGCTAAGCCAGGTGGAGACAGTACTAGGGAGTACAAGACCCCCCAAGTGACTTGAGAGCAAGCACATACTAATCGCGGGGCTTCTGGGGTGGGAGAGGGACAGAGGAGGCTCCCCAGACACCTGGGGTCTCCACTGCCCTTAGCCTGGAGCCTCCGTGCAAGTCTACCTCCTGCCTGCCTCACCTCACATGCCCAATTTGTCCCTGAGAGCAGACGGGACCCCTGGCCCATTCCCCAGGAACTCCCTCACCCTAATCAGCCTCTCCCTTGGCCTTGATCTGCCCTTGCAGCTGCAGCCTTGCTCGTTTCTCCTTGGCCTACACAGGCAGCTGCCCTTGGCCTGGCCCTGTGGCCTTAGCCTTCCTGTGGGCTCGGGGTCCTGATGGCTGCCCCACCACAGCACCCATTGACAGGGAAGAGGAACACATGCTTCCCCAGCAGGCCCGAGGGCAGTCCAGGTCCAGGGCATGGGGGCAGGGCTGGCCAGTTGGCATGGACACAGATGGGCTGCCTGACTGGAGCAGAGGCCAGATGCCATCGGAATTGGATTAGGAGCATATCGTGTCGGCTCCCAGCTAATCCGCCCCTCCTTTCCAGTACTGCCTGTGGAGCCCAGAGGGGGACCGGGTGGGGCCAGGTTCCCGGGCGAACCCAACTCAGGCTGAGTTCAGCCTGAGACCCAGGTTTCCTGACAACAGCAGCGCGGTTTCCAGGATGGGTTCTGGAATCCTCTTGGAGTGCTCCCAAGGCAGGGAGGGCAGTGGATTGACGAGTGTGCCACCAGAAGATAAAATTCCCTTCCCGCAAGGCACCATGCGCCATAAAACACCTGCCCCACGGGGGAGTGCCTGCCTCCTGGGCAGCCCCAAGTCTGCCCACCTTGTCAGGGGATTGGCATGGGGCTTGGGGCACAATGAAGCCAGCTGCCCCCGTGGCTCAGGCCCGTGTGTCTGAGGAGGACTGAGGGGCGGGCGGGTCTGAGCACCAGGTCTGGGTGCACGGCTGGGCTAGGGGATGCGGGGAGAGAGTCACCCGCTCCTGGCACTGACAGCTCAAGCCCGAGGACCTTGAGGGTTGAAGAAGGGAGGGGCCGGTCCTCTGCTGCTCGTTCTGTGGGCAGCAGATCCAGGCCTGGCCGGCTCCCTGCACTGTGGCCTTGGGGACCCAGGTGCTTGGAAGCCCGTCAGAGGCCAAGCCACCCACCTGTGTGCCTGCCCTTCTCCGTGCCCTGCCTCCACAGGCACGCAAGAACTCCTGAGCTCCATGGCAGAATCGGGCAGGTTCCCAGGAGCCTTGACATTTTAAATATTTAACAAGGCCTGGCAGACAGGGGGAAGAGCAGACAGCTGAGGCCCATCTGCTTCCTTTGATCTGGGAGAGGCCAGAGCCCTTGTGGATAAATGGCCCTCCACCCAGCCTCCTCGGGGGCTGGGCAAGGAGGAGGGAAGGCAAGAGATGCTCGGGAGTGGAGCCAAAGACATCGGCCCCAGCAGCAGCTGCACTGCGAGGGTGTGTGCGGCGGCGAGGCAGGATGTCACAGGCGCATCAGCTCCAGGGAACAAAGCTAGGGAGACCCAGGTAGACCCCAGAGTTCCTGACCTGGCCCGCAGCCCCCGTCCTCCATCTCCACTCCTCCCTGCAGCCTGAGTGCCACCTGCAGACAGATGGGGCCGAGGCCGGAGCCACAGGAGAACAGTCTCTGGGTTGAGGGTGAGGGCAGAGTGGGAGGCTGGAGGTGCCAAGGAGCCTCGCGGCTGGGAGCAGACGAGATGGTTGGGCCCAGGCGTTGCCCAGATGGGTGGCAGATCAAATCAGCCCGCACTGGCTGGGACACAGGCCTGGCACTAGGCTGGGATAGCCCCAGCAGCCCTGCCAGGCATGCAAGGCCAGAGAACGCTGTGGCTCCTAGAATCTGGGGCTGGGCCTGGCTCCTGGGGGTCCCCGCTTCATGGCAGACCCCAGCAACCAGGGCTGGGCAGGCCTCACAAGGCCGGGTGGAGCATTGCCTCCCACGGGGACAGTCAGGCCTCCACCCCAGATCTTTCTAGACAGTGCTCACCGGGCTTTCTAGAGCCTCGCTCAGCAGTGAGACCGACACTGCCCTGGGCTGGTGCCTCTTTGGGACAGCCTGTGGCCAGTCAGTGCCACCTCTGATCAGCACTCTGGGCCTCCCGTGCCCCAGCTTCAGCCACCCCTTCCCGCCAGAGCCAAATGGCTCTGTGCCATCCCCAGGCCATCCTCTCTCTTCCCAGGAGTGGCCCTGATCACCCGCAACTCCGTAGGCTTGCACCCTGCACCCCTTCCTTCTGTTATGATCCCCCTTAACTGAACACAGGGTTGAGCACACCGGAAATCTCCAAATATAGAGATGGGACTGTCTTCCTCCTCCCCACCCTGCCCTGTTCCTTGGAAGGATTTCTGTTTGGGGCCCATTCCGCCTGTGTGTGCATCCCATGAGGTACCCATCTCCTCCTCCCCAACCTCACTGTATAGAGCAGAGAACTCCTGATTATGGAGGTGCGGGGACGAGGGGGTCAGGTCACACCCCCTTGAGGACCCAGGTTACCCAGGGCATCTCCTCCTCAAGGGAAATGGCTGAGAGGAGGGGCACAGGTGGCTCTTGACCCTGGCCAGCCCTGGGGGTAATGACACCTTCAGGATGCTCCTCTGAAGGCTGGAAGCAGGACTGGGTGGCACGCAGCCTGAGAGGGACTTACCCTCTGTGGGTGAGGTCTTCAGCCTCCGGCAGAGCCCGCTGACATCCCCGTAGGCCTCCTCGATCTTCTGCAGTGCCTCGGCCCCTCGCAGCTCCATGAGGGCACGCAGCTCTGCCAGCGTGCACCCAAAGCCTCCAGCGTGGGGGGCATCCCGCTGCTGCTGGGGCTTGGGGTGGAACTCGATGGAACTATTGGCCATGTCGCCCATGCTGCCTGTCAGGCCTTCTCACAAGTGCAATCTTGGCTCAGCCACAGCTGGGGACAGGCGGCCACCTAAGGTCCCAGTGCCCAGGCAAGGTTTGGCAGTGGTGAGAAAGCTGCTAAGCGTGGACACCTGGGGAGACGGAGGCGAGAAGAAGCCAGGGGAGTGGTTGAGACACAACTGAGATCCCATCTTCCAGAATATTCTCTGCAAATCTTCACTCAGTCTGTGCCATGACCCTCGAAGTGCAAAAATCACCTCCCAGGCTGGGCCAGTGGCCCTCATGCTCTGCCAGGCCCCACAAGCCAGATCACTCCGGGGTCTTGCCCACCATGGGTATCCAGAAACTGGAGGGCTTGCCCAGGTGGGGAAGGGGAAGTGTCGATGCCTCCTGCCGGGGCCCTGCAGTGGCTAACACTAGCTATAGCTGGAGGCAGAGGCTCTCACTGCCCCCCAAATTCATTTGGGAACCCACGCTGAAGTGAGGGCAGTGTGCTGGGACTGATCAGTGGCTGGTCTTGCCCGTGCCCCACCACCAGTCCTGGGCTTGTCCACTCCGGTTCACTCCCTGCTCTTGCCTAGTTAAGATGCGCCCTGTGCAGCGGGCATGCTGTGAGTCCCTGGTGGTCTTCTGGTGTGGCCTTAGTGGCTCACGGTTTCTGTGGCCCTGAGATTACCTGGGGGGCCAGGGGTGAGAAAAGGAAGAGGGCTGGAGGAAGGGTGGGAGACAGGCGAGGGGAGAGAGGGACAAGAGGGAAGGGCAAAGAGAGGGAGGGAAAGGGGGATGGAGGGAGGGAGAAGAGGGAGGGGATAAAGGGAGTGGCTGAGGAGGAGAGGAGGAGCGGGCACACCGGAGAAAGCCAAAGCAGCCACAGGTCGCTGGCGAGTCTGCCAATGTCCCGGCCCACAGCATGGTGCCACCCACTCCCCTCCACGTCATTCTTCCCTCCAGGTGACAAAGTAAGGGGCTAAGGTCTCCCCACACTGAAAGCATCAAGGCCACGGCCCTGGCCACACTGCCTTCCCCCTCTGCCAAGCATTGCAAAGTTGTCATCCCTCTCTTTGGCCCCGGGGCAAGGATCCAAGGATCCGCTGGTGCCCAGGCTGCCCCTCCTGCAGCCATTACAGTGTTTGGCGGGGCCCACTGCAGCTCCTCTCTCTCTGCTTCTTCCCAGCCCGAGCTAAGCCTGCCACATCCTCATGGAACTGAAATGGCCTCAGTGTACATGGCCTGGCCTTGACTTCAGCCAAGAGCCCTCCTGGCGGCTCAGCAGGGCCCTGACCCCTCGTCTCTGGGGAAGCTCCTGGCTCAGAAGCATCTGTTGGAAACTAGTGGCCCAGAGCCCTGAAGAAAGGGGAGAAAGCCCTCAGGCAGCCAAAGCAGACATGGCCAAGTCCATGGCCTTATTTTCAGGAGAGGCCCTGGTGGATACTTCATGAAACGTCCATCCACAGTGACCCACGTTTAAAAAGCATGCACACCTGCGTGTTTACTCTCACGACACTTTGCACATGAAGCAGCCTTCACTTCTGGAGATGTGGGGACAAAATGATGGCCATGTGCCTGTGCCATCCTCTCTCCCCACCTCTCCCTGCCCTGTCTTGCAGTTGGTCACCTGACACATATTTACCGAGCAGCTACTACATGCCTGGCAATGGCTTGATGTGCTGGGACAGGTGCTCAACAAGTCTCAACTAACCCTGTCCCTCTCTAGCTGGGACAGGGAAAACGGCAGGCCCAAGGGCCAAGAGCTGCAGAGTTGCAGCTGGGGCAAAGGTGAGGCAAGGCGCCTGGGGACAGGCCTGGGGGAAAAAGACTGGAAGGAGTGAGAGCCGAGGAGAGGGGCCAGGACAGCAAGCGAAGCTGTCCCAGGTGGGGCGGGCTCCTTCTGGAGGTGCCGTGTGGATGAATTGCCCTTGCTTTTGTGACGTGGGAAACTGAGGCTGGCTTGGGGAAGTGGCAGAGCCAGAGGACAACTGGGTGTCCCGCTTCTGACCCCTCAAGGCAGCAATGGCAGCTTTCGGCTGTCACCTGGACTCCTCATCTTCTCGAGACAGCCTCCCCTCTCCACCCCAGGACCTTTGCTTGGGACGATGCACCTGCCAGGGCGCCTTCTCCCTGACTCCCTGAGCTCCAGTCACCTCGTGCCTTAACAATCCCACCATGTAGCAACTTGGTGCCACTGTCAGGTTCAGGCTCTGCGCCCCCAGCGGGTGACAGAGTGAATGGTTTGTGTGGTAGGCTCTTGGGTGGCACACAGCCATGACAGAAATGCTTGTTCCTTAGAGCAGGGGTTCCCCGTGGCACGGTCACTGAGGACTGGTGGCCCTCCCCTGGCACGTGCTCATCCTTCCTCCTCTGACCAGGGCATACCCAAGGCCAGCTCTGTCTTCCCCAACCCGGTCCCTGCCCCTGATGCCACAGCAGTGGCCCAGACAGAACCATAGCAGGTCCTACAGCTGCTCCTGACTGGTGCAGCCATGGCTGTGTCTGAGTGGACCTGCAGTGACTCATAGGGAGGGCAGTGGGCAAGGAGGCAGTCCTCCCCTCTGCCATGGTCCTGGGGCCAAGTTCCTTCTCCTCGGCTGGCCCTGCTGGCCCTCCCCACTGCAGGATCCCCATCCCTCAACAAGCAAGCTCCATGTCCTGTGGACCACCTCATAGGTCTCCCTCCAGTCCAGCAACTCGTGACGACCCTGCTGTGAGTCACCCCTTTTCCTGGTTCAGGCACCATCGCTCCAGTGGGCCCCTGTTTCAGTCTCCCATCCTCATCAAGCAAAAGGCCAGATTCCTTCTGAGCACCTCCCAGCCCCACTCCCGCCCCAGCCGCACAGCCCTGCCAGCTCTGAGCCCTGACCGCACGCCCTCTGTTCCCGCTCCACCTGCTGACCTCCGATGAATCCTCTTAGTCACAATTCAAGTGGAACATTCTCCAGGAGTCTCTGCCAGTTCCCCAGCCAAAACTGATTGCGCCTGAGTCTATAATCCCACGACCCGTTCCTATTTCACTCTGCTTGGCATTGCAATGATCTGTGAGCATGTCTCCCACGAGCTAGGTCCTAAGCTCTTTGAGACACGTGGTATGGAGTCGGCAGGAAGTCTACCGCGTGGTCAGTCCCGCATGTGGCCGGGGGCCTGGAGGAATGAGTGAATGGGGGCCTGGCCCACAGAGGAGGAGCTTGGAGTCCTGGGAGGCGGAGTCTCCATCCTGGAGGACAGGGTGGGGTCAGGGTGCTCTGCTAACCCTCATCATCTTCATGAATGCAATAGGCTATAGGGCAGACAGGATCCATCAGTTAAAGTAAGTCCCGTTTAGAGTGACTGTTGGCTGCTGTAGAGACCAAATGGCATATACTCTGCTTTCCTGGGTTCTATATAAGCCTGGGTGATGGCCTCCCTGAGTCCCAATAAAGACAGCAGTCATCGCTGAAATGGCCAAGAACTGAAGTGACTAGGCCTATCAGTTCTGCAGGCCTGACAGAGTTTCCTGCCTGGGCTGGCTGCCGAGAACGGTCTGTAGGCACCAAAAGGGCAGGGAACATACCATTTCTGTGCTCTTTCATCTTTCTGACCTTAACTGGCTTAATTGAAATAAGAACCTCCACAGAGGGGGCCTCGCACCTTCTGGCATTTGCACCATCCCCGCACAGACTGGCTGGCCTCGTAGTGGGAGACAGCCAGGGGGGTCACTGGCTGCTTCCTCCAGGGGCTGCTGGAGGGGATGGCCCAAGTCCAGGCCCATTATTCAGCCACCTTCTGGACTCTTCCCTCCAGCAGGGCCCAGACACCCTTGCCTCCCCACTAGGCTCAAACAGAGTGCCTGCTCCCCATCCAGTGACTCAAACCCACCCGACCAGAGACCCAGGGGTCCTCTTTCCCCTGTGTTGTCCCTCCCTGGCTTTGGGGGCTCTCCCAGCACCTCCAGCTTAATCCCCCATGGACTTCCTCCAGACCCCGGACAGCCCAGCATCCTCCAGAAGGCTCGGCACTTTCTAAGTAGGGGGCACCCCCGCTCCCATGGGGCCCCTCTCAGAACCCCGTGGCACACACTGAGTTTTGAGCCCACATCTGCATGCCAGCTCTTGACAGACATGTTTCTTTCATTGCACCCTTGGAAACACCCTACAAAGACCAGGAGAACTCTCCCCGCCTTACAGAGGGGGAAACTGAGGCTCAGGAAGGCTCCTGCTCTTGCCCTGGTTCTCCCAGTCCTGCCTTCCATGTGACTTGAGGTGGGTCACGGCCGTCCTTGCTGGGGCACTCTGATGGCACCTCTCAAAGCCTCCCCAGCAGGCCCAGGCTGCACTCCACTTGGCCACCTGCTCCGCCTTTATGGAGGAGAGGACAGATGGAGGGCGAGATCCCACCACCGTCCTCCAGGTGATGCACACATTGGGATTCACCCTGTTCTCTTTCCTGAAAACAGCCCCACTGCACCCCAGCCGAGCACCCCTTCAGTTTCTGGGATCTGTGTGGACATATATCCCCACAGCGATGGTGGGGCATGTACTGCTAGGAAGTCCCAGCTCCCGAGTCACTCCGTAGTCACCGGACCCTCAGTGATGAGAACATGTGGCCCCTGGGGGTTCAGACCATCTGGATGCCAGAGCCAGGCCCAGGATGCTGTGGCCCCGAAGCAAGAAGGAAGCGGAACTCAGGGGCAAAGGGCAGGAGATGGAGGCCTGGGGGCCTACCTGGGCACATGCCCTCCACTGTGGGCCCTCCTGGAGGCAGACTAACTATCACCTGCACCCTCCAGTACAGACCCACCAAGCAAGGGCCTGCCTTTCAGAAGGGCCCATCACTCAGCGACGTGACTCACTACGGGGATTCCTTAAAGCAATAGTCCCCCATCTCTCTCCACCTCTAGGCTCCTAGAACACAGGCCAGGCCCAGCAGAACCCAGAGAGGAAGAGCAAGCCAAGGCAACAGCGAGAGGCGCGGCCCAGGCCTCACTGATCGGGCCCAGGGTGGGCTCCTGGACCAGCTGGGGAGCAGGTGGGGAGAGGGCACGGAAGGAGGGCGTCCAGTCTGGCAGTCACCCTGCCCTCTCCTGGGCCTGGCATGATCCTAGGCAGGTCGAGATGCTGGTGGCCGGTGTGCACCTGGGAGGCCCTTTTATCCCTGATTC